CTTCCATTGCTTTCTACCTTTATAAGAGGATAATTAATTTTCAGGTTGCCAATATTATATTCATAGATGCACCTATTGGTACCGGATTTTCATATGCAAACACTTCACAAGGTTAGTGAACTAACAATATACTGAGAATAATGCTATGCAGTGGTTATTGAATCATCCTATGTTTATTAAAAATCATCTATATGTTGCGGGTGAATCCTACGGAGGCAAACTTACTCCAATGGTATCTGTGGAAATACTACGAGGTAATATGTATAAAATATAAAAAAAGAAACTTACAAGATTCTATTTCAATATTTTCTTATCCACCTATTAAGCTTGATTAAGTTGTTAGTCTTGATCGTAATGCAGGAAATGAAGCACGACTTAGACCACAAATGTCATTCCAAGTATTGATTAGCTCATGCAAATATACGAATTTCTCCTTATTTACTGCCCAATACTATAAAATATATATTTTGTGTTAATAGTCGAGTACTTTTGAAATTGATACAGGGATACATTATAGGCAATGGACTAACAGATCCAAACACTGATTTTAATGCACGAATTCCATATGCTCATCGCTTGGCACTTATATCTGATGAATATTTTGAGGTAAACTTTCTTATTCAATTATTTTGATGGTAAGTGCAACATATTTCATCTTATTCTCATTATTTTTATTGACACAATTTCAGTTAGCAAAACTTAGTTGTGATGGGAGATATTACAATCGTGATCCAAATAATGTGCAATGTTTATATGCCCTTCGACGAATCCAAGAGGTAACAATTCTTTTTATTTTACATTGTATTTTTTAATTTTATTTTTCATTTCTTTTAACATTTTTTATGGTTGTAGGCACTAAAAAAGTGCTATTGTAATCAAATATTGCAGTGTTTAAGGAATATAAACCAAGTTCAAATTTTGGGTGAGAATTGTGGATTTGCAGCAAGAAAACCATATGACTTTGGATGGGATCACACATTTCGGGGAGACCATTCAATTGACCATCTTGTCCTCCCAAATGCAGAACAAGAGTGTCAAGTAACTTAATCAATCCTCTATTTATACATCAATAGACATTGGCTTAATATTTATTTTTTTTACAAATTATGTTAAGAATTACCTTGTCTCTAAAGAAAGAACTTTATAAAATTATTTTTGGTAGAAAAGAAGCTTAAAGTAACTTGTTTTTTTTTTTTTTTTTTACCTTAACAGTGCATCTTGAGTTTCTCACGAACATTTTTTTTTTGTTTACAGAATATTTTTGCAATATCTGATTATTGGGCAAATGATCCGACTGTTCAAGAAGCTCTTAATATTAGAAAAGTACGTCAAATAGAAAAAGATTATGCGTTATTATGTGCTAACTGTCAACAAAAACAGTATATTGATCATAATATTTATAGTAATCTCGTAATTTTATACTAGGGAACGATGACAAAGTGGAGAACATGCTATGATGGAATATCCTTTGAACCAAATGTAGAGAGTGCACTTGAATATCATAAAATTTTGATCAAGAAAGGATACAATGTTTTGGTATACAAGTAAGTCATATAAGTTTCTTTCTTAAATAGAAATTCTGACTTAATTTGTTCGAAGTTTAATCTAATCGATCAACGTATATTTTGGTTAACAATTATTGAAAGAGCATTAAGCAAAAAAAAATTACCATACAAATATGTAAATTTGGTTTTTGTTGTCTAATTATGCTTTTTTTTTTCTTTCCAGCGGTGATCAGGACATGGCTGCACCATAAATGGGTCCTTTAAAATGGTTTCACATTCTCAATCTGACTGTTGACGACAACTGGAGACCTTGGCTTGTNACAATCAAGGCAAGACAAGTTTGAATGTGCTATTTCTTACTAGGATTTGAAGAAAAACAAGAAATGAAAGAGTGTTTAAATTTTTATATTGCAAGGTGCTGGACATATAGCATCATGGTATAAGCCTAAAGAATGTCTAGCGATGATCCATCGATGGCTCTCTCGAATTCCTTTATAGGTATGGACAAGCATACATGTTTTGGGGATTCATTTGTACACGTCACGCATTTTCTATAACGTGATTTATGCTGCAAGTGTACGGTGTCATGTTTTGTAATATAATAATGGAGTTAGAGTGTCGAATCCACATGAATTGTAATTCAAATTTCTATTAAGTACTATAATTATATAGCCTTTATTTTATCTAAATGAATGAATTTTATAATCAATGTTCTTTTAAACTAATATGGTGACAAATTCAACAAATAAATGCAAGTTAGAAGAACAATCAAGTGAGGAAGCCTAGGGTTATGATTCCACATAACTATTAAATATGATTCTCAATTATATCTATTAAATATGATTCTCAATTATATAATTATTTCTAATCAATTTTTCAAAGTTTATAAGCAAGAACACTAATGTAATTTTACTCCCTCTCTCGAGTGCCTAGTAAAAAATATTCCTATATTTTAATTCCAATTTCTCTATTCTGAATTAAAATATAGAATTTATCAAGTTCGTGATTCTTAAATGGAACATGCATCAAATGAATTATACTTTCTCTCGAAACCTATAATTTTCTAGGTTGTGTTATTCTTATGATCACACCTAAAATTTTCTCTCTCGAGTACCGAAATTGGTTAGTATCAAATCATTTAACTAATTGCCAATTAATTGAAAGCATTAAAATCATAACACAAATAAACATGTATGGAAAATCTAATATAAATAACTAAAATTAATCAATCCATATTATCAAGTTTTGGTTACAATCAAACCCTAGATGATGAATGTAGCTCATGATATAATCTATGAAAAATACTCAAATTCACATAAAATGACATAGGGAAGAGAATAGAAAAAATAGGATGTAGATCGTCAATTTATCTCTTGTTCTTCTTTGTCTTGTTTTTGAATCTCTTGATATTTTCCTCCTTACTTCTTGAAGAATTGTGTGTTGAATTCCCCTCTCTAAAAGTGGTCTTCAGGGTTGTATTTTTATCCTCATAAAATCTTGGACATGTTGGAGTTGTAATTGGCCAAGAAAAGAGTCCAAAAAAAAAAAAAAAATTTCAAAAAACCTATTTCTCGCATGGCGTGCCTCGGCGTCCATGATTCTGTTTATTTTCAGCGACGGTGGCACTGCGGCTTCTGGGTGAAAAAACTGCACTGCGCATCCTTCAGTATTTTTATTATAATATTTTCTTCCGATATCCGATTGAGGTGATTCAAGATACTTCGGAAATATAACTCAAAGGGCTACAACGTTACTGCAGATATCATTTTCCAATTCAAACTTTTTCTATGTTAAAAATGAGTCTCAATATAAGACTGAAAATTCGGAGTATAATTTTTTCGGTTGTAAATTGATGTGTGATCATACTTTGCATATATTTCATCCCTCTGACTTATTTCTTCATCCAATTGACTCGAAGTACTCTCGAGTCTTCATTTTGAGGTTCGACACAACTTTTAAGTATTTACACTTTAGTCTCCAAACTTTGGATCTCTTACAATTTAGCCCATTTCTCCAATTTGTCAACTTTTGCTTATTTCCTTCAATTCCATCACCCTATATCACAACATCAAAACACACATTAATATGCCCTAAAACTCTCTTAAGAATAACAAAATAATGAATTAAGTGGCATAAATATCATTAGTGTAGAATACTCATCAAATACCCCCAAACTTAATATTTTACTTGTCCTCGAGCAAACACAAAACTCTAGAAAATAACCAACGGACCTTCAAACAAAAACTAAATCAAACAAAATCACTTAAAACAAATTCTGCTATATATCTTGCCTTCATAGCGCAGGATTTAAAACATAACATCAATTTCATGAATCACTTTAAAGTTATAATGCCCAAGCTAAATTCTCACATATTCAATGCAAAACGGGGGTGTGTGTGTGTGTGTGTGTGTGTGTGTGTAGGGAGAGTTAAGTGCAACGATGTACAATAATAAGTTGATCCAAATCCTGACATTAAAAGTTAAATATTTTCTTACTTCGCTCGTGAGAATCATACACCTCAAACTTGTTTTCTTTTCACTTCTCAAGGTGTATTCTAAA